GATCCATCAAGACAAAATCTACACAAACAGAAACCATCTTTTGATCAAAAACGACAGTTACTAACTTACTGTTGTTCTTTGATAACTAATTCATAAGAAACACAAACCCCTAAAAGCATCCATCCATTACACATCTTTCAACAAGAGACAAAGAATGGCGACAAAAGCTCTTGTGATCATAAACTGCATAATTCTAGCCATAGGAAACTGTGGAGGCCCTTTGATCATGCGTCTCTATTTCAACAATGGTGGCAAAAGGATTTGGTTCTCTAGCTTTCTTGAAACTGCTGGTTTCCCAATTATCTTCATTCCTCTGTTTTTCTCTTACCTTAACCGGTTAAGAAGAAACAACAATGGTAGTGAAAACATAAGCTTCTTTCTCATTAAACCGCGTCTTCTTATCGCTGCGGTTCTCGTAGGAATCCTCTCGGGATTCGATAACTACTTGTATGCATATGGAATAGCTTATCTTCCAGTTTCAACAGCTGCTCTTATCATTGCTTCACAGTTAGCTTTCATAGCTATCTTTTCATATTTCATGGTTAACCACAAGTTTACTCCTTTTACCATCAATGCTGTTGTGTTGTTGACTGTTGGAGCTGCTGTGTTGGGAATGCATACAGAAACCGATAAGCCGGTTCACGAGACTCACAAGCAATACGTTATTGGGTTCTTGATGACTGTAGCAGCTGCTGTTATGTATGCTTTTATCTTGCCTTTAGTCGAACTTGCTTACCAGAAAGCTAAACAACCCATGAGCTATACCCTCGTGCTCGAGGTCCAGTTGATTTTGTGCTTCTTTGCTTCTCTTGTTAGCCTTATCGGTATGTACATAGCCGGTGATTTCAAGGTTAGTCAGTGTTTTGAAGCTTAAAAACCTGCAAAAGAGTTTAAAACAGAGAGATGTTTTTACTAAGTCCTTCATCTATTTTTTGTAGGCTCTACTAATAGAAGCAAGAGAGTTCAAGCTTGGAGAGGCAATGTTTTATGTGGTGGTTGTGTTCTCAGCCATAATATGGCAAGGCTTCTTTTTGGGAGCAATTGGATTAATCTTCTGCGCATCATCTCTTGTATCGGGTATTATGATATCGGTTCTTCTGCCCATCACCGAGGTTTTAGCTGTTATTTTCTACCATGAAAAGTTTCAAGCAGAGAAGGGTCTTTCTCTTGCTCTCTCCCTGTGGGGTTTTGTCTCTTACTTTTACGGTGAGATCAAATCCGAAAAGGATCAGAAGAGAATACAGCAGGAGTCAGAACTGGCTTCCTTGTCCAGAACCATAAGTGAGTGTTAGAACTAAATAAAGCTTCAGTTTTTATTAGGATACACTTTATAAAGTCCTCATATGAATTAGATTAGAGGATGTTTAAACAAACTGGGAACGATGCCAAAAACACAAAGAAGCTTCTTTTTTTTTACTGCTGAACTTGTTGAGCATCTCTTGTTTGCTATATCAAATGAGTTTGTGATATAGAATGAAAGAATCTTATATATCTATGACTCTTCTGTTATGCTGTTGAACTGTTTGTTCTTCCCAACAAAAAGATGGATTAGTCTTCTGCTGTCTTCTTCTCCTGAATGCTTTTCCGCTTTCATCGCCCGTGGTGATTTCATCCCATTAACTTGTTCAACAATATCATCAGCAGCACCAGTAATGAGAAATCGCGTATGAGCCGAGGACTCGTTAGATTCCACCTGTAAGTTCAACCAGTAGAGAGCTTCTGGTAAAGCCTGTTTGGTTCATTTCATGATTCTTCATTACAATAAGGAACAATCACCAGTGAGAGGAGATAACATAATGTGGTTAATATCTTCTTTTTCTAACTCTCGTTCCTAGAAAATCAACCAGTAGCATCATAAATTCTTGTATTGTAATCAACTAGGTGAATTATGACTAGAAATCCATTTGGGTCTACCATCAGATATTAACCACATTTTGATGTTATAAGTACATAGGAAAACATAAGAATGTACTCACCAGCTTTCTTCTGAAGAACCGCTCAATTCACTGTTGATTTCTTCCTTTGCAAACTCTTCCAGTATAGCACGCTGACGTTCGTTAATTTCACTAGAGAATACACGAAAAAAAAGAAAACACAGCATATAAATCCCATATCCACATTAGCACAGGGAGCTATTAAAAGACGGACAATAAGAGAACCTAACACATCCACATGCTACTACCAGAGACCAAGGAGCTGACTGAATCAACAAGAATTTCTAGAATCAGATTACAGGACAAATAATTAAAGATCAGATGCAAAGTAACAGATAGCACTCCCGGGGAAATTATTTCAAAAACCTCAACTTTTAAAGCAAAAAAGTGTCTTGTCCATTCCAAGCACCAGCATAATTTTTAGCATAGCATAATGGGATTGTCTCCAACAAATTTATTACTTGAACTCCAAGTAGAAGAAATCTTACGTGGGAAAGTTAACTCGGAAGCGCACATATTGATCTCCTTGATCTACAAAAAAGCCTCTCTTTGGTAGCCCTGCAGGAACTCACCTCTTAAAAAGAGTACAAGCAAGTATAGTTAAAAAACTGACCATTTAGGTTGATAATTAGAAGTACCTTTGCCTCTTAAAACAAGAAGTTGACCAGGTTGAGTCCCTTTTGGTATCTGCAACAGTTACAACTTGAACTCAGGTACAAATGGTAAATGCCAAATTGTGTAGATATGAATAGAAAATATAATATATTGGGAATATACGAAACTTACATCTAGCTGTATCTTCCCTGATAGTGTCGGCACCTCAACTTTGCCTCCCAAAATGGCCTGTCAAATATTATCTTTAAGACATGTCCAATATGGCTCACGGGAGCAAAAGTAGAAACAATATGAGCAATAAGACATGTATTGGACTAATACTGGTACTGTTCAGTAACAAGCAGTTAGTAATCAAAGCTCCCGAAAAGAAAAATCTACAGACAAGGAGGTTCTATAGCTGGGTTGCAAAAACTGCTGCAGCATGCACTTTTGACATTTATAACTAGGTGTCATCAAATTGAGTAGATGCCATATTATCTAGTTAGAGGACAAGCACATTTATACTTAGTTGTTATTAAGCAATTGGCACAACATCTACTCCCCTAGTGGCTTTATTTTGTTGAAGAACATGCCTAAAATATGTTACAGCAGAGCTCTATCAGCTAGCAGTTAAGGCTTTTGACCACAAACATGGGTCTAGAAGGTACTGCTCTGTTAATAACACAAATTTAGAAATAACCGGTGTGCTTACTTGTGTAAAGCTAATATTAGCATCCACATAAATATCTGAGCCATCCCTAGAGAAAGTTGAATCATTGGCAACCTGTGAGCAGAAGAAGATTAGATACTTGTCATCAAGGGAAAATTCAGCATGCAGTAAGACCCTACGGATGATGATAGAATTTATGACTACTTACGGATCTTGGAAGACAGCATAAACAATCTATTCACTAGTTGAAATAACTCTTGATTATATAGTGATAACCGGGACAACAAACACAATAGAGTAGCCATCAGATGTCTGTGACAAGTGCTGTAGGTTATTTTTGGAATGAATGCATTTAAAGTCAATATACGGCATCAACTGTCTTTTATCTTAGACTAAATTATCATCTTACGATGAGACTCATAGGTTGATTCAAAACTTCTCTAAGCATGTCCCATGAAAAGTATAAAGGTACAAATTTAAAGAAAATACAGATGCTTTTAACAAACCTTTAATTTGATATACAAGTTCCCAGGTAAACTTTTTCTTGATCTAACATTACCAGCACCTTCGATTTTGATCATAGCTTCAGACTCCACCCCTATGTTCAAGTAAAGAGAATAAAGCAAATTAACTTTTGACAGAATCGTGCTATCAAACATCAGATCCACTATCAGGTCCAGCAAACTATTGAAAGATGATACTCAGACACAGTTACAATTATTTGTTTTGTCTCTGCTGCAAATACCAAGTGTGAGCACATCACTAAGCATAATCTTAAAAAAGAAAAGAAAATCCAGCCCTATGATAAGTATGACCAACATTCAAATTGGGATAACGTCTAAACAACCCAAATCCTCAAATCAAGACACGTAATAGTGAGAATGAAATCTTGCCATTCGTTTCATTTCATAGCAGAACTAACATGTTATAGAACCAAAACCAAGTGAAAGATAGAAAAAAGCATGGAGATTTCAGACCAACCCCCAGGGATCCCGATTTCAACTGTCTTTGTGGCTTCCACAACACCGGATCCTCTACAAGAGATGCAGAACTCCTGAAGAGATAGACAACATATATGCTTGTAACCAGTGACGGAGAGATAACTACTGAAGCATCAATACAAAAGCTCTTTTTCTCAGACCTTTACAATATGTCCTGACCCCTTGCACGTCTGGCATATTGTTGTAAAAGGAGGAATAGTTATCTGATAAAGAGACAGATGTAATTAGAAATTGCATAATTTGTGAAACCTCCAAACAAAAGAAAGATTATATCCTCTGGTTGGCACTTACTCGTCCAATACCCCTGCATGTTGGACAAGCTCTTATGGCAGCATCAAGAGCATGGCCAAGCCCATCTGCAAAATGATAAATGATGAGAGATTGAGAGTAATGGGTTTGCAACAATATACAGTCACTTGAGTGACTCATTCGCCCTCACTAAGATGGCTGGATCAGCAGATTTTTAAAGACAAAAAGCCGTAAATGTTACAAAAACCAGAAGCAAGGGAGGCACCAAACTATACATTACAAATACATTAACATTGACAGATCACAAAGCCATTTCCAGAAGACATATTTTTTTGTTTTATTATTTTGAGCGACAGCATAACTGTAGTGAACCATGACAAGTAAGAACTCCTCATTCAAAATGTCTATACACTCAAGTACCTTTACACTAATCTTGCTAATCATGGCTGGCTTTTTAATATTAGTAAATGCAAAAGAGAAGAAATCCGAAACTCTAGGGCCACTCACCACAGGAATCACAAAAGACATATGCATCAAAAGACAAACGCTTTGTGCACCCTTCTGCAGCTTCGGAAAAAGAAAGCGACAGTTCCACCTATTCAATTTTGAACAATATAAACATGTGTATATACTGAAGATCCCTACACAACAAGATTTACATATGCCAACTAGCTTCCCATTGTATAAAAATAAAGAGAGAATCAGAGAAACTGACCCGAATATCAGAAGCAATCTGATCAGTTTCGTCTTCAAATATCTAAACCAAGTGTATACTAATGTTAGAGATTTCACTAGTCACATAAACAGATGAGACAGATTAGAAACCAAATCCTGTACCTCAGAAAAAATCTTGTGGAACGAATCCGAGAAATTGGACTGGTAAGCACGTCTGAACCTCTCTGCATCACCACCGTCATTATTTACATAATCTGAATTCCGATAGCGCAGCTGTATTGAGTGATAACAGCAAGAAATCCTTTCAGTAATCTTGCGACCAGATAAATAACAACAACACAAGTGTACCTTATCATATTCTTCTCTTCGTTCAGAATTACTCAGGGTCTGCAGTTGTTCAATCCATCACAAAAGTATATCAGAAGATACGTCCAATATGCACGGAAGGCTACAGATGTGGGAGATTTAGTGGGAGGAAAAAGATACCTCGTACGCCTCTCTTATTTCCTGGAATTTCTTCTTTGCTGAAGGATTATTTCTATTTGTATCAGGGTGGAACTTTTTTGCAAGCTGCACAGTTGTACATTGAATCATACATTTTGAGCAGACTTTTTACTTAATATTTTTGCTCATTAACAATGGGCCGAAAGACTCACCTCATGGAATGACTTTTTAATCTCTTCCCGTGTAGCTTTTGGAGAAACACCGAGAACATCATAGTAATTACGAGCACTGAAGCAGGATGCTCCTGAGAACCATAACGCAAAACCAGAAGCATTTAACGAATAAAAAATGATAAAAGAAACACAATGTCTCTTCATCAAGAAAAAAGCGGAAGCGAAACAAAACAACAAGACCTGTAGCGTGAATGTAACGCTCGAACAACGGCTTCTGAAACCCTGCAAAGTATCAAGAATTCCAAGTAATGTACGCATATTTCCAAATAGATAAACATAACCATCAATTGGCAATTCCTAAATGTTAGCTACCACTAAGAATCCATTCTGATTCTCTTAAATCAACCCTAATACATTGATCCCTCTTCCCTGGCAAACCCTAAAAACCTCAATTCAGCTAAACTTACCACTACATTCTCAAGTAAACTGGCATTGACGTTGCTGGGTTGCATATACAACTAAATCGCCTCATTCAAGGGCCAATATTCTCGAATCATAAAAATCCATTTACCTGGTCGCGATCCGAAGACGGAATCAAGTGTTGTTCGTGGCTGTAAATGCCGCACAACCTACGAAGAAAGGATGAGCATCAATATGACAAAACATTTAGCTCTCTCGAGGAAAACTAGAGAGGGACGAGGGAAGCAAACCCAGTTGAATCTTCGCA